TTCTTCAACTGAGAAAAGAGCTATAATTGAGCATCCCTATTCCCTAGAATATGCAGTTTTGTTTCACCTGGATAATATGGAAAATATTTTCCTTATGTTAAAAAATATTATAAAATACTATTTCATAGTGGATATGCTATTATTGTATTCATGATAGTAAGAAAACAAGGCAAGATTGTTAAAAGAATATTAGCAACAGAAATGGATGCCACAAAATGTGTAAAGAACACATATCTGTAAAAGCAGTTTAACATCTGAGAATAGAACCAATCAAGGATTTTCATCTTTTAACACAGTGTATACTTCACACAATGATACACCAAATGCTTTGTAGTAAAGGGCAACCTAGGGAGACAGTGAAAGCCTTTTACAGAGATCTGTAATAGCAATTCATATGCAGAAAATTGAACATTACCATATGGCAACATAAAAGAAACTGAATTCAGAAGGAGTTACCAGTACAAATGGATATATACTTTAGGGATGAATGGAACTGAATAATTGATTTCTAGAATATGACAACCACACCAGCAATTCAGTTTGCAGATTGCATCTATTTTACTTTGAATTTCTTTTCTCTAGTATATTACCAACTTTCTGGTTGGAAAATGTTTATTTCTTTGCATAAATATTTTCTAAACATGAGTATTATTTCTAGAAGACCCATTTGCTTTCTTTATAATTCCAGATTTTTTTACTGAATTACACGAGAACTTCTAGATGATAGAAGATGATGTTGTATTTTCTGTATGTTTCCCAAGAAGAAGGGATAGATATGTTAGCTATCAATGTGAAGTTTTTCTAGCAGTTCTGCCGATATAAGCTATGGTAAGAGTAAATTATTATCTTTTATAAATTACAATTCTTTTTAAAAATGTAGAAAAGTTTGGCCAGAGCTGCTGAGGATAAGTTAGTGAAATGAACTGTGTCCTTAGAAGTTGCCATATCTTTTCAGAAGATCATGAACTACATGTTATCAGCATATTAATTACCAGTCTAATCATCAGGGAAATACATTCTCAGCTGAACAGAAGACAGGGTGGAAAGAGGGATATACTTTCCAAAAAATTTATTTATAATTAGCAATGTTTCTTGTAACAGAAAATTCTGGAGGTGCTTTTTTTTTTGGGGGGGGGGTTGGTGTTGGTGGTTTTTTTTTTGTTTGTTTGTTTGTTTTTGTGGCTTCTTATTTTAATCTATGATTTGTTAACTGCATTTTTTTTTTTTTAATTAAAAAAAAAAGTAAAGAGAATAGGACCATTTCATGTGACTATTTTTATATTTTATAAATCTTTCCATCTCATACAGATGCTCTGACTCACAGAGGTCTATCACGGAAGTCAAGTTTGATGTGATTGCTGTTATAGAATAATCTTATGTCAATACATACTTATTTGTTCATACTGAGATTATAACAATACCACAATGTTACTTTTCTGATTCAGTGTTCTCAAAGTTCACTGTATTATTTTAAATGAGAATTTCTTACAAAGGGACTTATTTTTGGAAGTGAGTTAGGAGGTGGACTCCATTGAAGGCCAAATAAAAAATAAAGAAAAATATCTTATAAAATCAGTTTACTAAGCCTCAGAGTGCAAGATTAAAAACTAAACAGCTCTAGTGTTAGTATATTTTTTAAAGATTTTGAACAACTTCTTCGTAAGACTGAGTTTTATGTTTCAGAGCCAGAATGCATTGCCTGTGTTGAAGTAAAAGAAAATGCTATTTTAACATACAGAATTAAATGTTACAAATGCTCAGTTTGTCAGATGTACACTAGTAAGCCAAACAAATTTGTATTTAGATTTAAATTTCTAATTACATGTATGTTAACTGGAGTGAGGTTCCAGTTTAATAATTGTATTTTATCCATTGACAGTACTGAAGTGTTTGCACTTGCCTATATTTTACAGGTCATTATTTTCAATTTTGTGCACCGTGTTTCTCAGCTCTTTACAAGTCTCACATCTGATGCCAAATGCACACATCAAAAGACAATAAATATTTATCTCTGTTTCTGTAGCAATAAATTTTAGTAAAAAGACAAAAATATGAAAAAACTTGTGGATTAAAAATAAATGGATTTATCTCTAAAGGTTAAACTAACCCTTAGAAAATGAACAACATTATCCTTCATAACAATTGTTCTAGAAATAAATGTAGTTTTTTAAGCCTATAAGAAACTATTATTAGACATCTAAGTGTCTTTTGTGAGAAAGCACCACAGTTTTGCCGTGTTGAGAGTACTCACTGTTGAGGACAGCAAAGTCCTCTGCAGTACAATCTTTCAGTAACTCTGATTGAGATTATGGTTTCCTTGGACATTATGAATGTTCACACTCCCAATTACTAAAGATAAATATTAGTGAAAGGCAAGATGGCAAAAATAATTGCAATAAGAAGGGAAGTGTTTTCATCCCTTTTTTAAGGATTCTGAGATTGATACTAGTTCTGTTATACATGCCAGCCCATTTTTAATACTTGCATTATTATCTTTGCTTTCAATTTACATCTCTACAAAAGTGATCTTCACTTTCTTTGGGCTTGTAATTATCACTACACTCTTCTCTCCTACTTTCATCACTGCAGAGTATCCTCACCACTACCCTTTTATTTTTCAGCTTTGAGAAAAGAAGACTGAGAGGGGACCTGATCCAGGTCTATAAATATCTAAGGTGTAGGGGGCTGAATGGCGTGGCTGGACTCTTTTCAGTGGTGAGTGGAGACAGGACAAAGGGAAACGGCCGGAAACTGCAGCATAGGAAGTTCTGCACAAATGTGCGCAAGAACTTCTTTACAGTGAGGTGACGGAGCACTGGAACAGGCTGCCCAGGGAGGTGGTGGAGTCTCCTTCTCTGGAGATGTTCAAGACCTGCCTGGACGCCTACCTGTGTGACCTGCTGTAGGGAACCTGCTTTGGCAGGGGGTTGGACTCAATGATCTCTGGAGGTCCCTTCCAACCTCTACAATTCTGTGATTCTGTGATTTTAGTATGTGAATGTATTGTATTAGCAACAATCTTCATGTTTTTGCATTTACTATATTTACATTACAAAGTAAATCTAGTGGTAACTTTTTAGTGTTCATAAAAATTGTCAGCAAATAAAGAAATAAAATGGAGGCTTATCCATATACCCAAAATAGGTGAGAAGATATTTCAAAAGCTCTCATCTGCTTATTCATGAAAGTTCTTTCCACACAAATACTTAAAAAACAGGTACAACAATATTTGATCTACTATGCATATTTATAGATTAAAATTTGAGAGAAATTTCTCTTAAATATGTACAAAAAATCAAACTGTTCCTCTACTGGAGTGTACTACTTAGTCTCACTCTTGCTATTTGTTTAGGATGTTCAAATGCCCTGCTGTAAGAGCCATCTGAAGTACAATGCCCATGGACAGGAATGCTGCACAGAGTAGATAAGACCATGATGCAGAAATGGTCCTTTGAATGAAAACAGAAAATACTCTAAAACCTAAAAGTGTAATGTTGATTTTGTGGATCTAGCTACAAATATTTTTATATCCAAAATATGGCAAAAGTTGCTGATCCTTCTTTTGGTCCAACCCTAATTGTGGCCACATGAGAAAAACCATGGCTTTATGCCAGATATGTTTTATTTTTGTCACCCGGAAAAAGAGATGACAAAAAGGCCAGACTGTAGTCATCGAGATGAAATGGAAATCTTCTGCAGTCTGGAGATGGTAACAAGCTATTTGCAGACATGCCTCTGTGAAAATTTATGCCTGTGTTTTGGTAGAGTCTTAGGACACTTCCTTCATCAGTCTTAGCCAAGAAATATCTTGTTACAAGAAGACAAGGATGAAACAACCTCTGAAACATCCCAGATCAGACAGCTACATTGGCTTATGATGAGTAGGCCTCTTTCAGTCATGTACCTATGGGCTCTGACAGCAACATGCTGCAAATTCAGATTCTGAACCCACTGTCATATTAACAATGCATTTCTCTTTATGGGAGAAGAGAAAGGGAACCCTTTTGAAAATCTTACCAATGGATTAAGATGGAATGTTTTCCTACAACATCAGTCCAAATATGAAAAATCATTCATTGGATGATGCCTTGGTCTCCAAACCTATTTAGTCCTTGGATACCCTATTGAGACTGATAAATTGTATCACTAAATGCACTCTTGAACCAGTTACACTTCAGAGAAAATTGGATTGTAATCTCAGGTGATAGATTCTTCAAGATAGATACTTACCTTTTGGTATACCATTCAATGGATACCAAATTCAAGTCAAACAGTCCAAGTAACACATCTTGTTATTATCAACTAATCAATCAGCTTATCTTGTTATTATCAAATTATCAATTTGGAGTAAAAATGTGCCTAGTTTTTAAAAGTTTTACATCCTATCAACAATATCCCAAGCCTTTTAAATACATTTTCTTTTTCATTTAATAGGAGTTGAACTAAAGTTTTATGTTTCGGCATGGCAGTCTTCAAGTCTGGGAAGATTTATATTATAAATCCTACCTGTTTCATTCTTGTCTTGTTACTTGTTAACTAAGTAATTTTTTTCAGAAGATTCAAAGGTAGACCTTATTTTAGGTCTTTTCATTGGCACAATGTAGTATGTTCTTACATCTTGTCATTATTTCTCCATAAATTTTCCTTATATATTCTTATTTCTAAACACCATTTCTATGCAGACATACATGTAATTCACATAAACATTAATAAAAGATCTGTATACAGGGCAAGGCTACAAATAATATCGTTACAGTAATTTTATCAGTTTGATATTACTTTTTTCAGCTTTTCTAGATAATATTTAATTCTTGCAAAGAGAAAATATTTCAGCAAGTTTTATAAATTGAATTTCTGATTCAGTAATTTTCTTAAAGCACAATACTCGTGGTTGGTAGATAGAAATGTTAATAATGACAGAATCCATACTACAGACATACTAGTTTACTCTGAATATACGTTGCAAAAAATTGCCATCTATAGGGAAGCATCTGACCAACCTTTTGTCACAGAAGATTCCACTTCACCTAAACAAAGAGAAAAACAAAAAGAAAACAAATGGCAGATAAGAGGCTTCATAATAAAACCAAACCAAAGCAAAATACATATGCACAACACATTATTTCTCCTATTAATTCATTATCACTTTTAAATGCATTTTATTCCTTCTGTGCTGAAAGGCAAGCATCCTATTCTGAGTTTGGATTTTCACAGAATCTGTCTCTTATTGTAGAAGGTTTCTGGGTCTGGGACAGATAAATTCAGTGTGCAGTAGTAACCAAAGAAATTTCCAAATCTGTATTTGTGCTTCTGAATATAAAATTGTGATGATGTATTTACAATTTGCTTGAATGTATGCATGCACTCATGTTGTAAGGAAAGGTCCAGTGGTTCCAGCAGTAAACTCCAGATTATAAAATGAATGCACAGGATAGCAAGGTTGTAAATGTAACAGCACTTCTAGTGAAATCCATGGCAAAAGAGAGTCAGTTTCAGAGGAACAATGAGCTATCAATTTGAATTTGAAGGATTCATCCTGGAAAATGAAGCTTTCTTTTTAAGGATACAAAGCAGTAAGTTGTTTTCTGCCATTTCACACTACAGGTAGACATAGGTGAAATGCCACCTGACTAATGGAACTGAAGTTTCCAAGCACTCCGAGCATTCAGATCTTGAGTATTTTCATGTCAGTTACTTTATGACCTTTCCTACTTCCTTTAACACATATACACTCAAGTACTTGAACACTCTAAAAGGGAGAAACACCATCCAGAGGGACCTGGACACACTCAAAAAGTGGGCACATGAAAATCTAATGAGTTTGAACAAGACCAAGTGGGAGGTGTTGCACTTGGGTCACAACAATCTCAGATACTAGTACAGACTGGGAGAAGAACTCATCGAGAACAGTCCTGTGGAGAAGGACTTGGGGGTCCTGATGGATGAAAAAGTGGACATGAACCAGCAGTCTGCTCTTGCAGCCCAGAAGGCCAACAGTATGCTGGGCTGCATCAAAAGAGGAGTGGCCAGCACTGCAAGAGAAGTTCCCTGTTGCTCCACCTTTGTGAGGTCCTATCTGGAGTACTGTGTCCAGGCCAGGGGTCCCAAGCACAAGAAGGATGCAGAGCTGTTGGAGTGAGTCCAAATTATGATCAAAGAGCTGGAGCAACCCCTCTATCAAGAGACATTGAGGAAGTTGGGCTTCTTTATCTTGGAGAAGAGAAGGCTGTGCAGCAACCTCATAGTGGACTTCCGGTTCTTGAAGGGAGCTTACTATCAAGAAAGGGAGCAAATTTTCACACAGTCTGGTAGTGATAGGACAAGGGGGAATGGCTTTAAACTGAAAGAGGAGAGATTCAGATTAGATATCAGGACAAGATTTTTTACTAAGAAGGTGGTTAGGCACTGAAACAGGTTTCCCAGAAAGGTTATGGATGCCACATTTCTGGAGGCATTCAAGGCCTGGTTGGATGGGATCTTGGGCAGCACAGTCTAGTAGGTGCAATCCTGCCCATGGCAGGGGGGTTGGGACTAGATGATCTTTAAGGTCCCCTCCAACTTAAACCAGTCTATGATTTTATGACATTATTCTATGAACACTATGGTATTATGTTCATAATATTCTATGAACTATGAAAATGGTAAAAATAAAAAGTTTTGAAGTTTTATCAAGCTCTCAGTATTACATATTTTCTGTTTCTCAACCATGTAAGGGGATGGCTTTCTGTAGATCATACCTGAGAATAGGATATCCTGTTCACAAACTCACATGTAGCAGCTTATGTATCATTGTTCATATGTGGTACGAGTATATAAAGTTCATACATTTAAAAGTGAATTTGATAATATGTCAAGCTTATGAACAAACAGGTAGAAGTCATTTTCAGTCTTTTTGGGGTAGACAAATTGAATAGAAAATAAATTATTTTGAAATGAAGATGTCACTCCTACACTCATCATTTCTCAATGTGACCAATGCAGTGTGGCATAAAAATCCACTACTGCTCTGCTCACACAGAGCTATTTGTTTTTTTTTTTAATAACAGAAAGATAATTATTTCCAAATTTGTTATGTTAGCAGCTTACTTTCATTTATCAGATGATGTCAGATGAAGAAAATTACAGTAATGATAACATCAAAATTTTTAGTAAAATGCATTGTTTGTAAATTGCCATCCAAACTACCCTTAGTCTAGTCAAAATTTTTTTTTCTTATATTTGTCTTTTAACAATAGATTGTTCTGTCATTGGTATATAGAAACTAAATATATAAGTTTCTTGATCTACCTTATATTCTTACAGGCTAATTTTAGATTGTTGCTGATTAAAAGAAAATAGCTGTTGCCATGCTCTGAAGCAATATTCTGGTGCATATTTTTATTGTTATTTTGAAGTCTTGTATAAATTAGTACTCTCTACTTCAAGATGTACTAATGGTAATATTTAATTCTGACAGCTTTTCTGTAATGGTACATTAAACATGAAATGAAAGCTAACAAAGAGATGAATTTATTCATTGGAATAGCCAGTAGATACTTTATTAGCAACAACATTCACTTTTATTTTGTTTGACCTTTCTGACTAAGAGGTTAAAGCTGAGTAAGCCAACATATTATACACAAAACAGCAATTAGTGCAGTTACAGAAATCTACATTATGAATACCTTCATCATTGTCATCATCGTCACTCCATATGATGTCAGACAGTAAAGAAATAAAGCCATAAAGCCAGTCAGTGGATTCTTCCAGTGTCTCATGAATGATTCTCAGTGGTTCTGTGCTGAGCTTGTTAACAGATCTTCCTGAGTGCAGAGTTTTTTTTTTTTAAAAAAAAAAAAAAAGAAAAAAAAATAGAAAAAGATTTGGTGCTTAAGGTTAATCCACATTTTATAGAAGACTAATTATACAACCTTCTTTAACAGAAACAATGATTTTTACTGTTGATTTTCGTTATTCAAATGTTTGAGAACAGCTTTCCTTCCTGTGCATGTAAATTGTCCTTGCAGTTAGCAAAGTGATTTATAGCCTAGCGGACAATGTGGTCTGATAGTGTTCTCCCAGTTCTGACTCTTCTTCTGAGGCTTTGTTGGGTTCAGTATAAACATAGATTTGATTCTACCCCATATTTAGCCTTCTAGATAATTTCTTCCTTTCAGCCCAGTTTACTTCTCTGGCCGAGGTCCCCTGCCTCTTGATGTCTATTTAGTATTCACTACTGTTGGTTTCCCAGTCCTATGTCACATCTACCTTCAAGGCTATTCTGGCTGAGGAAACTGATAAGGCTTGGTTTAACTGCATGGACATTTCTCACCTTTCTCTTGGAGTACATGGAAAAAGTGAATAAAAGAAAACTGTGCATACTTAGGTCAAAACAAAACTGAGTCCAGGATGAAGGGGACCACGGAGCCCAAGTTGTGGCACACAGCCAGCTACACTCAAACACATAAACTCACAAATCTGTTTCTCTTACATTTTTTAGGGAGTTTCATTCACATACATGTGTGAATATTTAACTAGTTGCTGCCTTCTTGCTCCTGTAGGTCAACAAACAAGGAAGCTGCAACATTCCATATGCTCCATCTTCCTGGTTACTGCTATGGAAGAAAGGCCCCTCCACGTCTTCACTTGAGGGCGAACAATCACTAGTGATTAATATAAGTATTCCTTTAAAGGCTTTTCCAGTTATAATGTCACCAAATTTCTCCATACCCTGTTTATGCTGACATAGTATTTCATGAGAAATCTCCAGTCATTCATTCTATGTTACTATCCATCATAACTGAAATAGTAGACAGTCCTGTGTATGCAAAGTTTGCACAGAAGTTTCACAGAAGTTTAAACAATTGAAGGTAAATCACAAATTCGATTTAATTCATTGGCCTAGTCTTGTTTCTAGTAGTTTAAATAGAAATACATACATTCAACAGTATAAAGATGGGAACCACATCTCTGTTTACCACTCTTTTTTTGTATGCAAATACTTTTAAAAGAAATTAAATGCAAACTTCTTCACAACTACTTCTGGCTGCATTGCTCTGACTCACAAGACAAATCTTAGCAGTAATCAACAGTCTCACGTGAACTTGCAGGTTACAAAGACAGGCAAAGTGCAGGCTTGAAGCAATTTCTTTTTATGGCAGCAGCATGAACAGTTATTTTCTAGAAGTGCTGTAACAAAACGTATGAGTAAATTTATTTGAAATATAAATACAACAATGAATAACTCCTTTTACATCCTAGTAATTTTAAGTATAAAATTTTATTTAAAAATTATTATTATTTCAGATCTGCTTATTGATAGTGTAGATCAAATAAATATTTTGGTTGGGGTGTATGGTGCTTTTTGTTTCCTGGAAATTGTATTATATAGATATATGCTACTGAACAATCAGGCACATCAGATAACTTAGTCATGCACACTGCTGAAATGACAACATTGTAAAGAAATATTAATTAATTCTTCTTCTAATGTACTGTTTTGTGCTAACACTTGCAACTGATTAAATAATTCAGAAAGATTTTGAGTAGTATACCAGGATGTATTGACTTTTCTTATTGTAAGGCATCTATTTATTTGCACTGGACTTCCATATTGAGGTCCAGAGATTTTAATTTTTCAACAGACTTGCCACAAATGACTTTCTCCGTTGTTTACAAGGAGAATTATATATGTATTATATAAATATGTACATTTATATTCAGACTATAAAAATAAATCTGTAACCTGAGCCTTGGTGCCATTTGCATTTACTCTAATTTAGAGATGCTAAGGTGTGTAAGTGGACACACAGAATTAAATGGCCAGAAGGGTATCAGCATAACTAAGCTTAAGATTCACAAGCAAGGGTGGTTAAACATCATACAGCTGTCCTAGTTTCTATCCTCATTTTCTGCCCACCCTGTACCCACTGGATGCTTAGGGATGGCTCAGCTGTTTCTACAGTCACAGAAATTTATAGCCACAGAGACCACATCTATAAACAAAACAAAAATTCTTGCCAGTGTATTTTAATATTTGAGGCTACATATTAGCAGTTCAAGAACTGCTTCACAGGTAGGAGAGCTGTCCCCCCAGGCAGGCATAGGAACTGCTCAGAGAAGATCTAAAAAGTAGAGGAAATTGTTGCAACCACCCCAAGGCAAGCCATCTTTGCTGATGAATTAGAGCCCTCAACGTCATATCCTGGTCTTTAATTCATAACATCGTCATAGCAAACTGTGGAAACGGGATTAGAAATCGTAAGTGTCCAGAGGCTAATTTTTCCGGGAACACCTACACTAACAGGCCAGAGCTGCAAATCCTGTTTCAAATAGAAAATTCAGAAAAAAATCGACTTGGGGCTTTGTTGATAAAACTTCAGTGGTATTTGCAAAATTAAACTTGCAAAATTAAACAGATCCATTTGCAGTGTGATTCAAGTGACATAGACTGGGAAAGTTTACTTGTGCACAGATCTTCTACTTAATTTTTAAAAAATATTTCCTGAATTTTTAAAATATTGGGCTGAGTAATAATTCATCCTAAAATGCTTACGAACACCACACCAGATAATCCTGAATGGAAAGAGCTACTGATCAAACCCATGCTTTTAGATTTCCCTGCAACTTTGTCAATAGGAGATTGTTCTTCCTCTATCAGAACAAAACACACATGAAGCAAAGGAAAGAAAGCAATTTGAGAGGAAAAAAAGCAGAAAGATGCCATTTAGTTCACACACATGCAAAGAAAGATTTTCATACTTCTGTATGAAGAGTATAGCTGAGAAATACACATTTCAAGATAAAATTTAAACTTGACATCTTCTTGCAAGATCGATTTTTTAAAATTAAATTATTCTTTCTTTACAGATGTCCAGTAATGCTACAGCTTGATGACTTTTGTTTTCAATAGTCATGCATTCAACACATTCAGATTGGATTAATTGTCTTTTGCATAATTCTGTCTGGCTCTTCATGTCTTGTCAGACACTGGAATACCAAGTATTTATAATGCTAAGCTGAAAATATACTTCTCTTATTAGCATGTGGTATATAACATATAATACGTAATATATAATTTGTAATTAATCTATAACCATAATCTGTATTTATAATCATGAATGAATGATATTTATAATCATGAATTAATGAATGTATATATAGATATGTATTTTATGTTGTGTCTGTTGTGCTGGGACTGCTGTGAGCAGCAGAGGCAGGACCCCAAAAATAAATTGTAAAGAGGCTCTATGAAGACAGCATAGTTCTCAAGTAAATCCAGGCTGTGAAGTTCTACTGTTAGTAGAACTGGTAAGTAGAGACTGAGGCAATTGTTCCTCTCAGATTATGTAGTAGAAAAATAGAAAATGTTGATTGAGAATAGAGGAGGGAAAAGAGGAAGAAGGAAGAAAATGGTTACTAAACAGATTAAATTGAGGGACGAAACACAATTAACACTGAAGGCCTTTTGTTAACATGATGCCATTTCATTTAATCACAGCTTAAACTCCGATCGTCCTATCTAGTCAAATGTACTGAAAGCCAGATGCTGAGTCCCTGGTGAATCTGGACTCCCTCAAAAGCCAACTCAGAAAGCTATTTTGACCTTCAGATAAGAAAAATTGTCACCTCCATCTCACATCCTTTTAGAATGATATGAATTAATTTCCAAACATGCTCTTCCTTTTCTCTTGAATATAAAAGAAGCCAAAAAAAAAACCACCACCAAAAAAAAACTAAACATGGACATAACACCATTTTTTTTTTAGTTAACTAAAAAGTGTGACATGGATCATATCAGAAATGCTGTTTCATATTTAATTTTTTTCTTGTCACTATGCACTTCGACTAAGCACTTAGATTTGTAATTAATTTATATTTGTTATTAATTTCAGGTCAATACAACTATTCACACCAAACAGTATGCAAACCACCAACAGTGCTCTCCAGTAACATTTTGTTTTTTTGAGCCCTTTTATTCCCTTTATTGCTGGAAGGAAAGTTCTTCAAATCAGTAAAGATTCAGCTCTGCTTGTGTTATCATTTTTACTGCTGTTTTCTTTTGTTTGTTCATTTGTTTTGGTGGTTTGTTTTATTTTCCTAGTGGGACCTTCAAATTTTTGGTTCCAGAATGTTATAGAAAATGCTTAAATATGGAAGAATTATTGCTGACAGGGTACGAATTATAGTAAAATTGAAAGATTTTTATACATTACTTTTCAAGAAAACCTTATCATAGGAAAACTCAAATGAATTTCCTAGTCGAGTATTTTTACCTCTTTTATGTATCTGCAAGGAAATTTGGAGTCTTGTTTGAATTTTCTTTAAAAACATACACAAAGGTGGTTAAAATAATTTTCAAATATACTTTTGTTGTATATAAATGTTTCTGGAAACTCTCTATGTATTTTGAAGCCGGTTTTCATGCTCATTACATCTAAATTAAATTGCTATAATCCTTTGAAGCTCTCCAGCATTATTGTTGCAGAAACAATAATTTGGTTAAAAATGTGAGCACAAGAATTCCAAGCAACTGATTTATCCCACTCTAAATTCTCCTTGACTCACAATTTCTACTCCAGTTGATTTGGAAATAGATGTTGTATCTTTAAAGTCAATTAATATTTCACCTTTCATTAGCTTCTTTAAAATCAAGCAATGATGATTTTCATAAAGTGACAAAGTCATTTCAACTGCAGTAAAATTGTGCTGTTTGAAAGCAAAAGAAAACTTTTTTTGGTTTCTTTTTAATTGGAACTGACAATAAGTACTGCAACAGCAGCTTTTCACAACAGTAATTGGTTAATCACACAGTATGATTTGTTGCAGTACCTCAAGTAAATTTGCTTATGTTTCAAAGTCTGTGTTATTTATTCATGTGAATTGCACAATAAAAAGTGGCTAATTGATTTATTTGTGCAAATGACTTCAGTTATGCTGGTTTTAATAACTCTGACAAAGAATGTGGTCTTCTATCAATCTTTCTCCTGTCAAATAGTTAAACATATAGTCAGAGTTAAATCTCTTTTAAAGTTATTTTTAAATGAATGTCTGTGAATTATTTAATATTGTTGGATTTTCATCAATTACATATTTTGACTTCACTGAATTGAATGCAATTAAAATACAAATGATGGTAATTATCTGGTGTAAAGACTGATCTATTAGATAGAACCTAATTCATTAATACTGACAAGATACAGCTGACAAAGACAGAATTTCTGTCATGTTTGATAAAATACAAAAGCTTAATACTAGTTCTTTATAATAAAACACATCCTAGTCTAGTAAAATATTCTGCTATAGTGATAAAATTATTTTAAATTGAAAGTTTATACTTTCTTAAGATTTGTGATAACTATTTTTAGTCTGGTCATCTGAATAGACTCTGGCGGCTATCAATGAATTACAGCTGTATAAAACAATTCTAAAAAAACTCAACCTCAGTATTTCCCAGAAATTCCCCTTGTATATGTACCTCAAATATAAATATGAAGATTGCATTCTGTACTAAACTTCATCTCTTTCTAATATCAGCCTAAGATAATTATATTGAGATCCGGTCCATAGCGGAAACCTCACATGAAACTGGACAAAAATATTTTATCCCAAAAGACAGCAGTTATAAATAGAGTATATTTATATAAAATGTGGAATATGAATAATAGAATACATGGAATATAAGTAGAATTTCCAAATTCTACAATTAAATTCACAATGTTTCATAAAGTATCAAAAAATTTCTGATTCTTTGATATAGACAAATGAAAAAATGTGGACAGGAATGTAAGTTTAGCATCAGCTTTACATGTTACTTATGTGACTTGGTTTGATATCAGGCGAAAGGCTTCAGATTTGCTGAATCAGACCTAAATGAAGTGTTGTTTTTTAAACAGCCAGATATTTAATCCAAAATATTTTGAAGCTTTATTTTTCCCTCATTCTGGTGTTTCTATTCTCTAACTGAGAGTACAGATTTTAACTTCACATATATAATGCAGTCCCGTTAAATAATTGTCCAGTGATATTCAAAAATGCATTCATCGTGATGAAGTGAATATCCCCCTGGTTATCGCTGATTGCTGAGTATCTGCTGACTGGATGACACTGACCAACCTGTCTCAGGTGTGAATGTTGGGAGCGCTCTATTCTAATGAACTTTGCAGACCTGGGTTTAGCCGAGGAGCAGTGCTACTGCACCCTAGTACTCTGCTCATGTCCGTGCATTGTTACCTCAGCAAGCAGAGAGCACATGCACACACATATTCAGAACACTGCAGGCACAGCGTCTTTACCAGGTGGTAAACAGGGATCATCGCAACGCTGTGAATAGCTGGCTAGAGCGGATGACAACATGATGAACACAAGAAAGGCCAATAAAAAAAAGGGAGAAACAACATTAGCAGTCATGAACATCCTCAGTTGTTGCTCAAATAAATGAAGCAGTTACTGAGAGAAGTGACAACTTATTTAATCTTGGGGGCTGCTGTTATGAAGCAGAAATTGAAGTTCATTAAAAAGATAAACAACTACAAAGAGGATTCTTCCAGGAAAATCACTGCTTCAGGGTTCCAGTGGATAGTTATCCAGACGTGTTAGATAATAGAGTACAAATCACAGCAATTTAAAAATACTGTTAAATACAGCACATGTATTTTCTAAAGTTATGCATTCTATTGCTAAAAAGAATACACGATACGTATAGGCAGCTCTAGTTATTCGGATTTCTTCCATAGCAAATAACAAGAAAGTCACATTTTTGGAATTGTTACTGAAATGAATTACAATCCTGAAGTATGGTTTCTATTTCATATCCCATGTAGCGTATTTAGGTATGTGAGTCTTCTTTCTCTTCTTAGCTCTTTTCCTGTCCATTGAATGAGGTTCTGAAATTTTATACTTTCAAGTCTGGGAGCTCATGAAGTTTGATCTATCAGGTTATGATCTTGCATATGTTAGACCGTTTGAGATGTAGTACTTGAAGAACTACAGTATTTCATAGACTATCATTCTTTACAGTGCAAACTCATTTTCTAGGGGTTTTTAACTCAGCTGTAATATTTATTTGTGAAACATTGTGAAACACAGGATGTAGGATATCTCCTGAGCACCCCTTCTTTAAGTTGAAATTTATAAATTCATCTTTAGCACCCCCACGCTTTCTTTTTCTTTCTTTCTTTCTTTCTTTTTTTTTTTTTTTTTTTTTTTTTTTTTTTTTTTTTTTGTGGTCATTTTGGAAAGCAATGAAAAAAAATGTTTTGTGGATGTTAGGTACATTTGTAGAGTTTGAAGAATTTAATTAAGAACCTTGAAATGCAAAAGCTGTTTACTCATGCTTTAGACTGACACCTGTAAATACAGTAAAAATTGTATTTTAAAAGATTACATCAGTGTTTTGATCAAAGATATCCACGATATCCAAGGTATTTTATTTTATATTTTATATTTCATATTTTATACTTTATTTTTTATATCTTTATATTTTATATTTTTATTATTTTACATTCCACTCCTGCATTCCATTGGAGATTTTTCTTGGGCTTTGCATGTCTGGAAAACCTTTTAGCAATTATTTTAATTTGGTGATACTTTTAAACACCCCTTGCACTGAGAGGCAAAAATATTTGTTCTATTTGTTTGCTGGCACTTTAAGCAAAAACAAAAGTAAGTTAATTTTATTAGTAAAATTGGAAAAAATGCCAATCTTAATATAAGTACTCTCTTCTTTTTTTTCCTCTCAATTTTTAGAAGTTATAATTGAACATAAATGCAACAGAATGACTGTATTAGGATAAAACTCCAGAAGAAAAATGAATGTATGTGGGTTGGTCCGAAAGTAGTGCCTCCTTTTTTTTTACTGTATTGGCCCACGACATCACAAGTGGCTGTTGGTGGTATGGCAGTAGGAGTCCAACCTTCTCACCAGTATTTTGTTACATTTGTTGCCTTGTGACAGGTGGCAGCAGAGAGGCTGTCTGACAAATGGCATCTGACATGAAAGTGCGTATGAAGCTGATTTCCTCCATTTAGAAAAAAAGTCATGACTGTCACTGATGCTTGCTGAATGTTGATGGAAACCAAACTGTGAATGACAGGACAGTGAGTCAGTGGGTGGCGACAGTGAGTGTGTCACCTCTGCTGGTGTAGATTTTTATATCAGGCAGGTTCTTGCTCATCACTGTTGAAAATGCATAGCTAATGGTGGTCGCCATGAAAGATAGTGTTTTGTAGCTAATAATTTGATCTATCAAATAGAGTTGTTGTGTTCCTTATATCTGTTGTCGTTTCCATGGAAATAAATAGGAGACATTACTTTTATGGCAACCTAGTTTCATGTTCCTGATAATGTTTATCTCAAAAAATAGAGAAATAAATAAATAGACAAACAAAGTAATAGGCAAATAGTAGTGTAGTAGAGTAGCTGTCTTTTTTGAATTCCACTTGTCATAATCAGGTTTTGAAATTTACAATTTTTTCATGCAGAAGACTGGAACAAAAAATGTGCCAACTACACAGCACAAATTACTTAGAGTCCTGTTCACCATTTTCTTGGGTCTTTTTCTCTTAAAAATACAGATGTTAAAATGAAAACTAGGGTCTTAATTTTTTGTTTGTTTGTTTTCCTTTACTGGAAAATATGTATATCACTCTGGATACCCAGGACCTTTCAAAACAAAAGTGACCATAAACTAAAGACAGGGAAATGGTGATTTCAGACTGTGTTAGTCAGAAGCTGGTGTCCAAGAGCCCAGAACAATTTGGCCAGTTGTTTTCCTATTATCTATCTTAAAAGAAAGAAAAAAAGAAAAATAAAAAGCATTAAGGAGAATATCTTACTGATATAATCTCTGCAGTTTCGCATTGAGGCAGGAGCTCTGTGTCTCCATTGATAGGCATTACCTCCACAGAGATCTGCCTTGGCTGGAGATCTCTAAAATGCCTCTTTTGGTTGAGAACAATGAATTATCTACAAGGAAGGTCCTATCCTTTTTGCATTTATGAATGTAATTAAAAGAAAATGGGAACCTGCATTTCCCATGTCTTGTGCCCTTTTTGCTTATTATTTTCTAGCTATTTGAGGGTTTTGTAGATTTGCTGAGGTTCCACTAGGTTTGTCTTGTCTGGCTCTTAGGTGACTGGCAACATCACTCAATTTACTCTGAATGTTACAATCTGAATCTGAAATTAGGGTAATGTTAATTATGAGTAATTGGTCATGGAGAGGGTGGGGAATTCTGAGCCCTTTATTCGCCCATTACCAAATGCAGATTCCTGGGCAATCAAAACTTGGAACTGAAATAATCTTAAATTATTTAGTTACATGTATTAATTAAAATATATGATCCAGGTTTGTGTACAAGAAATGCATGAAATACATTCATGAATTATGAAGCCAATTAGTGAAATAAATGTTTTTGAACTTTAGGGATGGAAGTAATTACAAATTGTTGCAAAGCACGCATAAAACAAAAACGAATCTTTTTGCTTTTCTAGAAATATTGAGAATGTATAAGAGATCTCCCAGTGTGTATGCTACTTATTGCATATTCATACATGTTACGTACTACATGAGGTTTATAGTGTGATAGCCTTTTGTAATGCATGTCTTCTTCATAGCACACTAGAAATATTTCAGTCATGTTTACAGTTTTCCAAATAACATGATAGGAATGCAAGTTTTCATTACATTTATTTCAGGATGAGAACAAATACTTCATTTTCATATTGTTACATGTGTGATAAATCTCAATTAGCACAAATCTTCAAAATTTCCAAACTTGAGTTTGATACCATAGTTCTCAAAAAGCAAAATCTGTGGGTTGGTTTCCTATAACCAGTAGGAATTAGGAGGAGCAAATCTATGTATATTCCTTAGATATGCAGAACCTGGCCTGGCCTATTATGTCTACAAACTGCTGTTTTCTTCTACAGTCAGTTCTGTGCAGAATAGTCATTAATAGTGACTTTGCTATGGAATTGGCATTTCTTGCTCATAAATATGATGAAAGTCTGTCATGGGAGTCACTAGGTCAGTGGGTGCCAGCATGTAGGTGTGTGACATTTTACCCAGCAATCTCAGCTCAGGTTCTTGCTTCCTGCAAACCTGGTAGAGGGCTAGCTCTGCAGATACGCACAGTGTATTTTTAACTGCACTAACAAGTGACTGAAATCTTGACTACGATGGCTCGCAGATTCACACCCCATACATGAGGCTGGGGAAATCCACCCCAGATTTGTGAAGTCCAATGAGATCTCTTGTAATGTGCTTTCTAAATACCTTATTAAATTCTGACAGAGGTTTTCATAGAATCATATAATCACGTAGACATGGATCAGAGGCATCCCTGAAATTCATCTAGTGCAATCCTTCTCAGCAAGGGACTTCTGCTACCACTGGAGCCAGATAGCCATGACCAGCTCACAAAGTCTCAAAGACTTCCAAGGATGGAAAATCTGCAGTCTTAGTGTTGCTCTACCCTCATGATAAGGATTTTGTTCCCAGTGTCCTGTGTTTGGTTTGTCCCAACCTCCTGTGACACAACTTCAGGCCCTTTCACCTTGTTATATCACCTGATACTACAGGAAAATCATCTTGGTAACTGTTTGTCATCTACTACTTTTTCAGCTGCCCTTTGAAAGAGTGTGTTGCTCTTAGATCAAATCTCGGTTCCCTCTTCAACAGACTAAACAAGTTTTCCTCTCAGTTTTTCCCTGCATATTTTCTAGAGTTGAGCTTAATGGAACTTCAAGGAAAGAAATCTGAAAAAAAAATGTATGCACTGACTTAAGAAAGGCAAGTTCTACCTCAGGAAAAAAAAGACACTGAATGTTATGTGTTTTGTACATAAAAAAAAATACACAGTCACATTTAATTTATTTGGCATCTTTCATTTACATTTAAAAACTAATAAATTAAATTTAATCATGCTTGAAAAATTAAATTTACAGCAATGAAAGTAATGATTAAGATTTTTTAAACTGTATGTTATTCAAGGAAAAATGTCATTGTAAAATGAAACTATTCCTGGATTTTAGATTTAAGGGGTCACTTAAAACATGCTCCAAGTTTTCCTTCACAGCTCCACTGGAGGCAAAGGCCACACTGTCAGAGGGTGAAAATAATTTCAGTATCAGTACTCCCAGCCAGGTGACTCTATGTGAAGTCTTCAGCTATTGCCACAGGTGGGTTTCAGCTGGACAACTGCAGCTTATTAGGAAGTCAGGAGCTGAAACCCTGGCCATAATAAAAGCTATACATCCACCGTTATGTATCCGTAAAAACAGAAAGCAGTCTGATAAATCTAGGTCGGAAAGAGCACAGTAGTTCTTTCATTTAACATTTCACCATTAATAGATTATTTAAATGCTGCTTTAATTAATCATGTAGGAACAGAAATATATTTGGGAAGAAAAAGACTTGAACCCATGAAAGTATTGAAATATCATCACTCAGAGATCTCTACAAAATATGAACTCCTTCTGCAGATTAAATTTTACATTATTTTGTTTCTACTGCCTGGTCTGAAAATGTCAGTTTGCATCAGTGCCCTTGGGATTTAAGCTCATTTAACCAATACAACGTGAACATCAGATTTCCATCTGCCTAGAAATTTTCCCTCAGTCTACCGAAAAAATATAGTTTTGCATTGCTTAATATTACCCTGAGTAGTATACAGAGCATGAATAAGCTGACAGCCAGTCTATGAATTGCTTAGTTTAGTTTTATCTAAGGCATACCCTTGTTCCTTACTAAAAAATAGTAAGAATATGATTGATTGATAGTTAATATGGAAAATTACAAGCAAAATATGGTGGTTTCTCTCCCTTGGTTTATGTCCATTTTGCCACATTTTTTTTGGTGTTCATATTAAAATCTGATGCTTGTGTAGGAAGGGTCACTCAGAAGGAAGTTTCCACGTTACTGAAACTCAAGTGAATTCCTTCTGAAAACAAATTAGAAGTAAAAAATTAAATGAGATCTGCCTTACATTTTGTCTATATTCCAAGCTTCTATGTCATCCATCAAATCAGAATTAGTAGGTTTCTTTCAAGCTCTTTGCCTCAAAAGATTTTTCAGCAAATCTTGAGGTCAATATTGATTTACAGCAGGACTAAAATCTATGGATTTATCAGTAAGCTAATAAAATGGCTGAATTTCTATTCCTAGTTAATTATTGTTATAGATGAGGTCACTGTAGAGCTGGTGTTCTTCTTTAGAAAAGAAAAGGACCTTCATCATTTCTTTTCTAGTTTTGCTTCACATATTTCCCAGTCACTACAGCCTGCTTATCTCATGCTTGCTGAATAGTATGCCCTCTTTAAAAACACAAATTTATTTTAATTTCTGTTATACATGACTGCCAGCTGCAAGGTATAAAAATCAAGTAATGATGAGCTCATTTTTATTCACCATTTCTTTCTTCTTTTTCCTCAACCGGAATCATAGTCCTTGTGCCAAGTGAATATGCCTTGCCCTCAAAAACAAATCTATTCCCAAACTTGATCCTGTATACTCAGTTTGACCAATCTTAAAATGCCTAAGTGAGGGTATGGTTGTGGCTTAGCTAATGCTAAGAATCTGTCTTTCTATACTTATGAGTTTTGCAGATGAATTTACAGTTAGTATGTTTACAAATGGTGTTTTTCATATTTTTTGTGAAGGAATTGTGTAAGCAGATGTCAGAATACTTAAGGAAACTAAGAGAAATTTGAAAATATATTTAAGAAGATGGAAATTAATAATTCAGAAATTGCAAAACAGAAATCTGAGCATGTATGCTCATATACATATCATATTACTGTCAACATATACATTTTCCAGGATAAAGATGGGCTGCAAAATGGAAAGATTTAAATTACAACAACTTATGATGTATAAATGAATATATGCTGACATTTCTCACAATATCTCCTCTAACAGTAAACTCAGCAGAGATAGTGTGCTGACTCTTAAGAAGGTATTCATTCATATTTACATAATACACACACCTTAATATTTTTTTAAATTCTTATATAAGATATATCAAACAAAAGATGCTGAGTTTTACCTGCAAAGCCTTTGTAATCCACCAGGTCAAACATTACAATAGCTACTGCTGACCAGGTAACAATCAGAGCCACAACAAGAAGCCATGCTGCTGGGGAGCTGAATGTTGTCACAAGGTCTTCTGTAACTGATTTCTTGGCCATTCTCATGGATGATGGAACAGATCCATTCTTACCATCTGTTACTGTAGTGGTCGTAGACATACGTCCTAAGCAAGTAAAAGCAAAGGAATGAGAATATAAAACTTGGAGCCTAAGATGCAAGAATTTGACTGTTGTATTGAAATACATCTATTCTCAGAACATGTAAATTAAAAGTAAATATTACAAAAGTAAATATTACATTTTCTGAAAGAAGATTTTCCTGAACTAGGGCCACAATTAGTAAATTTTATTTGGATGCAAACATGGTGAAATAGCCACGACTGGCCTTTTTGTTTATGATGTGATATTTTTTAGTCTGCCACAGATAGCTACAGACCTAGGAGAGTGATTGATGAAAACATCAAATATTATTACCCTCCAAAGGACTGTCTTGTTATGGGCTGTAGGCCAGATTCTTAGGTGATGTGATTAAGTGTACTTCCATTATCTGTAATGGAGCTAACGCATTTATGCCTCTTGAGGTTTGGCTTGAATTCTGCTGTCAAGGACGTTTATATCCCATTTTATCCAACAGAAACACAAAAGATTTAAACATACAGTATCATTACACTTCAAGGAAGCTTGTACCTGATTTTTAAATACCTTAGATCTTCTCATTTTCACATAATTAAATTATCTCTTTAGAAGAAAGAATTACAATGCCGAAGTAGGCTTAATTTCAAAAAGGCATTCATTGGTTTGGTCCCAGTAAGAAGGTAGGAAGGTGAATACTAACATTAACTAAGTTAACTGTTGCTATAAATTAAATGTTTAATGGAGAGTTAAAAAGTTAATCTACTTTTTCTTAGGGTATTGAGAAAAACTATTTCTCCATACAAACCTTAATTTTGGTAAATGAAAACTGACAGCATTTGAAATGTTCCATATTATTCTTCCTCATAAAATACAGTGATAGCCTAAAAAATCTTGGTTGGTAGTTGTTTTCCAGAATATAAAACAATAAAAGTAAAAATATTCATAACTTCACAGTTAAAAACAGTAGAACATGGTACTCCACCAGCTTAGTCTACAAATCTGCTGGTAACCTACTGTTAAGCTACTGTATGATATATATGATATGACATATGTTCCCAGTGTAGGTGGGTTCATTTTTTAACATCTCTCAATAAATGTCAGTGATTTTAGGGACCTTTGTCCACACAGAGGTCTGAACTTTCAAGGAATAAGATGATGCCTGATTATCTCATACCTCTATTTCTCACCTTGATATCAAATATGTCCTTTGCAGCTACTCAACCAAAGGCTAATAATTTTCTAGGATGATAGGGGTATAGAAAGTGAAAGAGCTGCACTACACAAAGATTAATAGACTCCCCACTACCATTTTTGCAGTACTTATGGTGCAATCCTGATGTTTTTCCCTGCGTTGTCCTTCATTTTGAGTGCCCAAATGTTGTGTGCTTTGTTGTCCATCTCCTACTGATCTTCTTTCCCAAATCTAGCAGTCCTACTATTTTCACAATTAGATCAGTAAAGAAAGATGGGACAACTATAGGCAGCATTATTCACAAATCTAATTAGCTACTTGCTCTCTTCCTCTGAAAAATATTCACAGAATCACAGAACCGGAGGAGTTGGAAGGGACCTCAAGAGAACATCAAGTCCAAGCCCTTGCTAAAGCAGGTAGCCTACAATAAATTGCACAGGTAGGCATCCAGACTGGCCTAGAATATCTCCCTAAATGAGACTCTACGAGCCCTCTGGGCAACCTGTGCCAGTGTCCAGTTACCCTTACCATAAATTTCTTCTGCATATTAGTTCGAAATTTCTTATGTATGTTCAAGTTTTAGGCCATTGTTCCTTGTTCCACACTAAACCGAGAAGAGCCTGGCCTCATCTATTTCCCTCCCACCTCCCTGTAGTTATTTATAAACATTTGTCAGATCCCCTCTCAGTCTCCTTCTCCCCAGGCTGAACAGACCTAGGTTACTTCAGTCTTTTCTCCTACAGGAGATGCTCCAGGCTCTTAATTATCTTTGAGGCCTTCCACTGGGCTCTTAGGAAATCCAGTACTACAGTTGAGCAGAGCTTCTGCCCAAGCAGACATATTTGCTGCCTTGAAATCTACTGCTGGAGCCTATCAAGTGTCCCTTTCCCACTTGAGAGGTGTCACTCAGCAACAGGTTAAAATCAAATTCCAGACATTCCCACCCATATAATTAGTATTTTCGTGCCCAAGACCAATTTCTCTGCCTGTGTTATAGCCAACCAGAATCCAGTTTAGTATACTTAGATGAACATTGCAGTAGGTTAGGAGATTTGTGAACACATCAGCAGTCCCAGATGTGGGGGCGGCAACATCTTTTTCAATAGTGGAGGGTGCAGCTGAAGGCTGTTACAATTTCAGCCATCCAATTTCAGCCCACTGCCACATCTGTGAGAGCCTCCTGGCGCACTGAGTTGTGATTGTTACTGATTTTCAATGGGGCTAGGAACTTTTAAAAGTTATGCGCATTTCATAAAAAGATTATTCCAGAGATATATACGTTTGACTCCACATCACAATTTCTCATGCACACAGAACAGCCCCATCAGGTCACAAATATCACATTTGCATCAACAGATTGATTTGCTAAATTCTAAACTGCTGAAACACTGAGATTCTTACTAATCCTTTGGTTTCAGTCTTGTCACTTAGGATACAATCTAAAGACCCATAAAGTCTCAGAGGTATAAATAAACCTTGACAATCAGTGGCAATGTTGAGGAGAATACTGTGCAACTTTTAGAGTTTAGGGTGAACTTGTAGTTCTGGCAGCTAACCCCTTTGGGTTAGTGAGCTGAGTTCTCCTTAAGGCATAATAAGCATAGGGAGTCTACGGTCAAGGAATGAAGGAATGGGCAATTTAGCATCTAGGCTTCCCAATACCCCTGAAGAAAAATTAGAAAAAGAAAAAAAAAAAAACAACCCAGCCCTATGCTGTCCAGACTCATTCAAATATAAAATAGTCATTTCCTGTATTTATGTTATTTCCTACATATCTTCTGTATTACAGCCTTCATCCTGAGAACAGAATTTTAAAAAATTAAAAAATCAAGTAGAATACTTAATGCAAAATGTAATTTTAAGACTAGGTAATACTGGACGTATTAAAAAGAAAGGGCTATCCATGCTGCTAGGAAGAAGGAGGTTGCTGTTTTTTAAATAATAACAGTACTTCTAGGGCAATTCAGCTGAGACTTGAGAAGCCTCAGAGCAGTCTGCCTTTAAATGGAAGAGATAGTAGATCTTGACTTCTCTATTCTGCTTCCCAGATGAACACTCCAATAAACAGACTATAGAGTGTTCTGGATTCGGGTCATTAATGGCTCCTGTTCAACTTATTTCACTTCACTTGGAATATTTAAATATTAATTAAGGGAGTAGAAAACAGAAAGAATGACTGTATAAATTTACACTGTATGTTAAACTCTCGCTTGAGCCTTGGGCTTTAACCCAGTGACCTTATCAATTCACCACTCTTGTGGCAGACTGGAATCTGAATCTACAGAAGGAGGATGCCAGAAGGAGAAAAGAGGTAGAGATTAGAACCCTTTGGTGAAGGACTGGGCAATGTGTATACAATAATCTGATGCATTCTTTAAGGTCCATCATATCATCTTCACTGAGCGTGCAGACTGCTGCAGCTCTGACGATAACTACTATTTTCCTATACACATAAAAATACCCAAAGTGCAGTGCCTGTTCCTGTTTTTTAGGTGGTATGCATTGCTATAGTTCTCTTTTCATCTCTCTAATATGATTTCTGCCCCCTTGGTTTATACAAGTGGAAAGAAAAAGGCAGAATTTCTGATGCAGTTAATAGTAACGTGCAAAAAAAAAAATTCCTGAAGTGGCCTTATAACTTTTGTCCAGCAACTTTCTGCCTTCACAGAATCACAGAATCACAGAATTATTGGGGTTGGAAGGGACCTCCCAAAGCAGGTTCCCTACACCAGGTTGCGCAAGTAGGTGTCCAGGCAGGTCTTGAATATCTCCAGAGAATGAGACTCCACAACCTCCCTGGGCAGCCTGTTATAACACTCCATCACCCTCACAGTGAAGAAGTTCTTGCGCACATTTGTGCAGAACTTCCTATGCTGCAGTTTCTGGCCATTTCCCCTTATCCTGTCTCCACACACTGCTGGAAAGTCTGGCCTAACCACTCTGCTCCCCACACTTTAGATATTTATAGACCTGGATCAGATCTCCTCTCAGTCATCTTTCCTCAAGGCTGAACAGACCCAGTTCACTCAGCCTTTCCTCATAGGAGAGATGCTCCAGGCCCTTCATCATCTTTGTGGCCCTCCGCTGGACTCTTTCCAAGAGATCCCTGTCTTTTTGTACTGGGGAGCCCAGAACTGGACACAGTACTCTAGATGAAGCCTTACCAGGGCAGAGTAGAGGGGGAGGATCACCTCCCTCGACCTGCTGGCCAAGCTCTTTTTAATGCACCCAAAAAGTATATAGATGATTTGGCCAATTTTTCAAAGGCACAAGGAGTTGGAAACTCTACACTGGACTCATGCCTTTTCCCTGAATACATTTGGGAACAATGAAATTCAGGTATCTTTCAACTGATTAAGAACTTTCTTAGATCCTCTAATATGTGTCATGGTTCCTATTGAACAAACATAGTAATACAAGGGCAAGAATTCCTAATAATGATGGAGAGGTAGATTGAATCAGTGAAAGATATCTCAAATAGGGAAATTCAGTTTATCTTTGCAAGCTCCTCTCTCACCACTATTGGCAACAGGTTCTGTGGATAGGACAAAGAGATTCAGTTCAGCACAGAAATGGGTAATAGGCACCTACCTATCATAGGTGTTCTGAGTTTAAAGGAGCTTCTGCAATTTGATAAGCAGAAATGTAACAAATCCACAAAAATAATTTATTTAGAGCTGCAGCATAAATCTTCTCTTAAGATGACTGACTAAATCAAACCTTTTTTTCTGTTTCATACTGCATCCCACTATGTATGAATGAAAGAATAAAACTGGAATGATTAACAGGAAAAAATATGTAGAAGGAGTTTCACAACTGATCCCAGAATATACACAT